TCACACCTTTGTTTCTTTCTCTACTGTATCTCACACTTGGCCTGGAGTGAAATAAGTATGCAATAAATGTTTGCTGAAGGAAGAAAACACAAATCAATGTGTAATCTCAAACTAGGAGATGTGGTATACAGGAAAGGGAATACAGGACTAGTGGAGTGTGTAACATGGGGACCTGACCTGGTCTGTAGGGGCTGATGGGAAGGATGAACTGGCATTACCTCAGTGAAGAGAGGTTCAGGCCCCTGGAGAGTACCGCAGGTGGACAGGATCAGTTACAAAGGTTCTAAGGCTGGAGAAGAGTGGTTCACACAGAGGTGATAGCAGGTACTTAAGGTCCTGATTTGACAGAGTAGAGGAAACTGAGAGCAGGCTGGAGTGGCTACACTAAGGGGAAGGGTGGCACAGATGAGCCTAGCAGGGAGCTAGAGCTTGCAGTGAGTTTCTTTAGGGAAGATGCTGGCTTTTTGGTAGAGTGTGACTGCTTAACAAGAACACAGTATTCATCGACCATATAATTAAAGTAATAACCCATATGTTCTGACATATTGAGTTGGTTTTTCAGGGTCCTTTGTGGTTATTACTGGGTCCTAGAATGGCATGATGTACAAATAAAGATGCTTGTGTCAAGGTCCAAGAAAAGGAAGACTTCTTCTGAGATTCTTCTGAATTTTCTTGGCTACTGATCTATTCTTCCATATTAACCTTTGAATCACTTTATCAGGTTCTAAGAGAAATGTTGTTGGGATTAGATTGGAAGCAATTTAATGTAGTTATTAAAAGCATGGCCTTTGGAATCTGGCAGATCTGGCTTGGGATCCAAGTTCATCCATCCACCAACATTGACCTTGGTATAGAAAGTTATTGTATTAGCCTTGTTTTCTCATTTGTGAAAAAGAAGAGTTTCAGAGGATTATTGTAGTTACTGAATGAGAAGATGTGTATTTTTCATCCAAAAATATGGTGTTTGCTGCCCTGGCTGATGTGTTTCAGTGGATGGAGCACCAGCCTGCAAACTGAAAGGCTGCTGGTTTGATTTCCAGCCAGGGAACATGCCTGGGTTGCAGGCCAGGTCCCCAGTTGGAGATGTGAGAGAGGCAAACAATCCATGTCTCTCTCCCATATCAATGTTTCTCTCCTTCTCTTTCTCCCTCCCTTCCCCTTTCTCTAAAAGTAAATAAAAATCTTTAAATTGTTTTTAAAAATCTGGTATTTTTTCTATTTTCTTTAATCTTTTAGTTTCCCAGTAAAATTATGTTTTTAAAAATGAAGGTCTGGGTTGTCCTCTTGTTGGGTTTTGCTTCTAGTTTTTCGCTGTCTTTTGCTCTGCGTGTACTCAAGTTCGCCCTGTGCTCATGTCCAGCCCAGGACAAACTGTGTTGTTCGCTGTCGGGGGGTACACGCTCTGGTGCCAGAGGGCACCTCTCGGAATCTTTCCTCCTAACTTAAATTTTGTGGAAGAAAAGGGGCCACGTGCAAAACCTGAGAAGTTCCGGGGAGGCCTGCATGGCAGCCTTACAAACTCAGAGGCCTAAAGTGACCACATGGGATGGTCTGAAATTGAAGCTTCCTAACTAAAAGTGAGTCGTGTTGGGTAGTCATGTCCTAGGCCAGTAGTTTTTCCCAACAAAGGTCAGTCTTTACCCTAACTGAACCTGTGGTCTTTTTGCATCTAAGATAACATACCTTCAGAATGTCAGATTTCCTTTTTCTGGACCCCTCAAAGCACAGGCACCTCACCATGCAGAGACCACTAATCCCCTCAGTGTTATTGTTATGTTATTGTCGACTATTAACTATCCTGTACCCACCTTCATAAAAGTGTTTTTCATTTTACTTTTTATCCAATGCCACAGGTTCCCCCCACACTTTGCTTTTTCCAACCTCCCTAATCTATCACCAGTGGATTTCTTGTAACCCCTTACACATTCTCTTTTGATTGTAATGTATAAAATAAGGTGCTAAACTGCCATTCTCCGGAGCATTTTTCAATCTGTTGAGATTTTATTTCCTGGCAATCGTCAGTTTGGCTCAAATAAACTCATAAAAATTCTTTACAGGTTTGAATGTTTCTTACATTGATAACTTCATGGAATGGTCTGAACCCATGGTACGGATCTAAAAAAGAAATACCACTTAATATTTAATATTTAAATACCACTTATCTAGTGGGCATTTAGTAAATGATTGCTGCTATTATTGGCAAATTTGTTGGTTTAAAGGAGACCCCTTGACTGGGCCAGGCTCACTCGTGGTTCTTTTTGCTTCTTCCCTCAGTCCCTGCCCTTCACCGAGAGGGAGCCCAGGGGATGGCAGCCATGCCTCGGAAAGCCTGGCACCAGGTGAGATGAGAGTCCCTCAGGCCAGCTTTCCAGAGATCTGATTTGAAGGCAATGGGCAATGAGAGGGATGATCCTGGCAGAAGTCTTAGAGCCAAGCAGCAGGAAGACCCTGGAATGGGAGCTGGATTATGTCAACAACAAATATTTGTTACATGCCTTCTTTGTGCCAGCCCTTGTGCTTTAGCTGAGGATAATGGAGTTGAACAAGATACAATAGATATAGTCCCTGCTCCCTGCAGTGACCAGAGAAGACATAGTTAAATAAATTGTCACCATTAAATAAGCACAAATGGCCCTGGCTGGTGTGGCTCAGTGGATTGAGCACCAGACTGTGAACCAAAGGGTTGCCGGTTCGATTCCCAGTCAGGGCACATGTCTGGGTCGTGTGCTGAGTCTCCAGTTGGGGGCATGAGAGGCAACCACACATTGATGTCCCTCCCTTTCTTTCTCCCTCCCTTCCCCTCTCTAAAAATAAATAAATAAATAAAATCTTAAAAAAAAATAAGCACAAATATGTAAGCACTGAGAAATAGAGTGCTGTGATGCCTCATAAGTGGCGGACCTCCCTTACACTGGGTGGTCAGGGAAGCTTGCTTTCTAAGGGAAGTAGGATTTGAGCTGAAACCACATAACAATCAAGAAGGTGGGAATGGAAGGGAAGGGCATTGCAGGCTTAGAAAATGGTCTGCAAGAGGGGCAGCGTTGAGAGAGGGGGAGAACGGGGGTGCTGAGAGTCTGGAAAGGTGATTGTGGGCCCCTCTCACCGCCTTCCAGTGCAGGGAGGGATCAGAGCTGGCATGAGAAAGGCCAGCACTGTCAGGGTTGGGGAGGACCCTAACGGTGGTCCAATCCAGTGGCTTGTAGTGCCATTCACCATCCCCAAGGGCTCATTTTAGGATTTTGTGGGAGTATCTTTTTATTGCAGTGTTTGGTGGTGGTGGATGGAAACCAGGAGTGCCAGCAATCCTGCGATGTCCAGGATGGTCCCTCCTATTGAACAGCTGCCACAGACATTCCCGTCTTCTGGGACATTCTTGTGGGTATAAACTGCTCATAAAGTCCCTGAATGTGGAACCTGTTTTTCAGATAAACAGTGTGCTTCTTTTGCACAGTGTGCAAAACATGCTGATTCTTCAGGAATATGATCAAGACAAGATTGTACTGTGTTTCATTTAAACTTTAACAAAAAAGTGTTCACCATTTTGGACCCCACCTTATGATTTTTGAAACACCAACATGAGATGCAGCATCGCAGCTGTGCCATTCAGGCACATCCCAAGTGAAAAGGAATGTATCTGACCACCTCCTCCATCTCCTACCGCAGTAGTCATGACCAAACATTTACACATTGAAATATGGGCTTCTTTCCATGTATTAATCTAGACTTCATTGAGGACCTATCATGCTGGAGTGCCAGGGATGCAGTGTGACCAAAAGAGACATTGTATTCACCCTAAAAAAACCTTACAATCTCACAAGGGTGACATTTCTGTATCTCCAAGGACAAATGATCTCTACCCACATTGAACTTCTTCACCAGCCTGACTGTCCTTCACTAGCATGCAAGCACCACAGTGATGAACAGGGATTTTGCTGGCATTGTTTTATACTGTTTCTCCAGCTCCTATTGCTGGAGGTGAATGTGGGTGAGGAGGCTGTCCCCAGAGTCTGGAGAGATGGAGAGGTTTAGAATCCTCTCTCTGAACCTCATGGAGACAGGGTTAGGGGGTTAGTCCAGCTCCAGCTTCCGCTGCCCACTGCTCCACTAGTAGCAAGTCTCAGGCCAGAGGAGAGGAAGAAATAAAGAATGTCCCCCTACTGGCCACCAAAATGTTAGGGTGGTCAGTGACGTGGGCTGTAAAAGAATTCACAAAGAGAAGAAAGAGTAGAGAGTAAAGCTTTTATCCACTTTCCAAGAAAGGAGAGGGGCATGGTACAGAGAGATACACCACACATATGTGTTATAAATTACAAATTATTTCCCGTTTATTTCTTTTATTACAGTTAAGGCATTAGTTTTTAAAATGTACGTTGTTTATTTTATCTATACTCTTCTAAGTATTATGTATTTTAACGACAGGAGAATAAAGTGGTCACTAGGAAATATGTTACAAAAAGAGTGGCTTTGGGTTTGATACCATGTAAACCACCGATCCAGTCCTTGGACTCCCAAATCTGGTTGCACCCGCAGCTTTACTAAGGTACAGATTCCCCGCACCACCCCAAGTGTTGAATACAGCGCGGGTTCACTCCAGCTCTGGTTTCTGAATCTTGCCTTCCCTAGCCCACCCTCAAGATCGAAGGTAACCTGAACAAGATCCACGGCGAGGAGCTAAGGACGCCAGGACTCGCGGCACCGGGGTTTGAGCGCAGGGGGCGGGGCCGGAGCACCACCGAGAGGGAGCGACGCTGCTCCTAGAGAGGCTCCAACACCGCCCAAGAAGCACTTCCGGCTGCGCCGCGGAGCCGCTTGCTGCAGGGGTGAGTGTGGTGCTACGGGCGGTGGGGTGGTACCCTACCCCGGAGCCTCTGGGTTCGTAAGGGATGCCCTTCCACTCGGTTTGGAGCTGCGTCTCCTGCTCCTGTAGGAGAGAGCAGGGCGGCGGCCCCTCCTCGACTCCCACTTTGAACTCGGCGGCTGAAAACGTTCTGTGCCTTGGGAAGAGAAGCCTGTGCTACTGTCCTATCCACGAAGCCCCGAATACTTAGCTTGGGAAAGATGCTGTGGCTTTGGGGAAGATGTGCTGTAGCAGCCAGAGGGTGGAATATTTGCTGGAGGGAAGCGGCCTGAGGTGATAGTCACGAGTCTTTTAACATGTGGAGGTCGTGCAGGGGCTTTTACCAGGTTCAGATTGTATGCTCTCTGGTTCCTGACACAGGGACATGAATCAAGGCCCAGTGGAAGAGCTGAAAAGGCAGGGCATCTCCCATCCACCTGAGAGCAGAAGAAACGGGCTTGTGGAAGGCGTTGTCATCTGGAGCGGTGTCAGTTCCAAAAGGTGACTGGGCCCTACTCCCGAGCTGTGGGATGACAATGACCTGGGAATGCTTGCACCATATAATTACTCATTGCTCAGCCCTAGAATACACATACAGTCATTCCAGAATTGCTAATTCATATCTTCATGACTGGCAGATTTACTCGTGTTGACCGATAAAGACCTGAGGCTATAAAACAAGTTTATTTGGGGTCTTAAAGGACTCAAATCCAAGAGATGAGGATTCAGGTAACTACCCACACTAAGTTCTGGAGAGAACGAAGAAAGGCAGGGTTTATAAAGACGACAACCACAAAATGTAGTTCTTTCATGCAATTAAAGGATTGCTGGCTAGGTTAACAGGGTTTGGCTAATTCTAATATGGAACTGAGGGAGGTGAAAACTATCAAGGAAGGAAGTAAAAGTCCATATGTGCCCATATAGATTCCTAAGTCGTTTATGGTTCCAGCATTTTATGGCTCTGCCTTGAGCTGAGTTTAGCAACAGGTCTTGGTTTTGGTTTTTGGTTTAGCAACATGGTTGGCTACGTAAGAGCAGCTCTGAAAACAGGCACAAAATGTGCATAGGCTCCACTTCCTAAGAGCCTCTGGGCTCTATTTTAAGTGACTCTCTTAGCAATGTTTATTATGTTTTATTTTTTTTCCCATGATCACTAACTAGAGGGCAGCATTTGAGTACAGGTCTTTATAGCCTCACAGTATTTAGTTAAAATACTATTTTCCTAAGTTACTTAGTTCTTTTATTTCCTAACACTTCAGTGTGGTTATGTGATTCAGTTGTAGGACAGTTAGGTTATTTGCTGTTTGTGTGTCTTTTTTGGGTGTTACCCCCATCTCATTCCTGGTTGGTTGATTTTATATATGTATGTATATATATTTACTTGTTTGGGTATGTGAAACATTACTATGTTGGTGAAATTCAGACACATTCAGAAAAGTATTACCCCCCACACCCTCTTCTACCCAGCTTCCTTCCATCCTGTCCCCATTCCAGGGCTCCTTTCTCCCACATCCCACCCACACTTGGTGCAGCCAGTCTCCTTAGGTTTTGATTTATCCTTCCATTTCTTTTTGTATAAATGACCAGAGCACATTTTCTTGTACTTTCTTTTTGTTGTCATTACACAAAAGAGAGCACACTACCTTTTGCACTTTACTTTTTTTTAATTGAACAATATACTCTGGAAATTACTCTGCATCATAGAGATGACTGTATTTTTTAAAAATGCCACTCCCATATACACAAGACTGCATCTAGTATGTCAGTTAAGCAGCATCGTAGTAGAATGAGCACCGGGAACACACCACCCCATTAAGAAGGAGAACATGACCAACTGCTGCATTTGTCTGTGTTCCTCCCCAGCCCGGCCCCCGGCTTACCACCCCTGGAGGTAACAACTGTCTTGAATTTTGTGCTAATAGAGGCTTACCTGTTTTTAAAAATAATTTTATCACATATACGTGTATACGTAAATAATGTGTTTACTTTTCTTTTGAGCTTTATGAAAATGACATAGTGCTTGTCGTCATCTGGACTTGTGTAACTCAGTATTGTGTTCCTAAATTCGTCCATGTTCTGTGTAACTGAGTCATTCATTTTTGCTGCTTGATAATGTTCCATTGCTAAAAACTATATGACAACTTGTTTATGTATTCTCAATGGACATGTGAGTTTGCTTCCAGTTTTTAGCGATTAAATACTGCTGATGATGAATAATTCTGTATGTATCTCCTACATACAGAGTTTCTCTAGGGTATAAGTTTTTAAATTTAGGCATGAATGTTGAATTTTTTAAAGATTTTATTTATTTACTTTTAGAGAAGAGAAGGGAGGGAGAAAGAGAGGGAGAGAAACATCAATGTGTGGTTGCTTCGTGTGTGCGTGTGCGTGCCCTACTGGGGACCTGGCCTGCAACCCAGACATGTGCCCTGACTGGGAATTGAACTAGCATCCCTTTGGTTTGTAGGCCAGTGCTCAATCCACTGAGCCACACCAGGCAGGGCCAAATGTTGAATTTTATTAAACACCTTTTGGCATCTGTTAGATGAAGAGTATGTTTATATTGCTTTGATTTATTAATGTGGAAATGTACACCAATTTGTATCTTAATATTGACCAGAGACACATTTTCTTATACTTCTTTTTTATTGTCATTACACAAAAAATTGCTTGCGTTCTCATGAGATGATCCCTCTTATGCATGGTGTATCACTTTAATGGATTACTGGAGTCTATTTCTTATTATTTAGGATTATTTGCATCAATACTCATAAATGAGGCTTGTCTGTGGTTTAATATCTGTATTGTGCTGGTGTTACTCAGCTCAAGAGATTTGCGGGTTAGGGTGTTCTATTCAGGAACAAGATGTGGTGGTTGTTAGGTAGTTTCATCTACTTGCAGCAGGTAAATGAGACAGATTCACATCCAAAGCTCTTTCCCTGGAAGAGAGGCCTAGCCATTGCTTATGTACACTATTTGGTCAATTACATGTTGATTTCTTCTTTTGCAGTTGGCTAAATTTGTCTGGATTTGGTTAACTGTATGTCGATTCACTCGTTCTTCCCTTCTTCCTCCCTCCCTCCCTCCCTTCCTTCCTTCCTTCCTTCCTTCCTACAGTTGACTAAACTCTTGGATTGGGTGGTCAAGCGCATCCTGGGTGGACAAGCTCAAGTGGCTACAGCTGCATCTGCAAAATGCGGTGCTACATTTTAACATTTAACAAGAATAACATCTAGTAAGAACTGCCCAGACCTTGATACCCTTGTCCTATCTAACACTGGCATGATCCAAAAACTGGAAAACTTATTTGGCTCTTCTCTGCTACAGTTTACATAGTGTTGGAATTACTCATTTCTTCAAGATTTGAAAAGATTTGTCCATGATACATATGGGCTTAGTGTTTTGCAAGAGTTCACTCTTTACTGGCTATCTCAGTTTAAGTAAAAGTAATCACAGAGTATGGAGAAAAATCTATGTAATAAAATCTGTAGAGTTGGTTCATTAGATTCATATAGAAGTACATGTTCTTCCAACATAGAATAAATTTTCTTTTTAAGCATCTACACACTTTTTAGGTGGCCACTTCAGCTATTAAAAAAGAAACAAACCAGAAAACAAAAACACCTAACATCTTTAAAGCAGGAGTAAATATATTAGGCTATTTAAACACCATGCAGTAAAGCCAGAAATTATGAATAGAGAAGAAATTTACAACATGCTATCCTAAACAATTCTTTGGTCAGAGAAAGACACAATTGCTGACTAGCTATAAAATAGTAATTAAAACATAAAACCTCTGGAATGTGGTTAATTTTAGTGTATTCAGAGGAAAATATATGGCCTTATGTGTTTTAATTGCCAAGTAGAAAAGTATGAAAATAAATAAATAAGTCATGCAACCTCAAGAAGTTAGAAAAGAAGGCTTTTGTAGTCTAGTTTCCTCCAAAAGCAGAACACACGACAAAGATTTGTGTGCAGGTAATTTATTTGGAAATGTAGTCCTGGGCAGAGTGAAAGACAAGGGGAGTGACAGAGGAGGACGGAGAGCCACACAAGGGTGCTCTGTCAGTCTGGCCCGTCTGCATCTGACTGGTGTTCTGTCTTGTAGATTTGGAATCTCATATGGGGGGCTAATGGGGAAAACATTTATCCATTGGTCTCTGTCCCCTATTCAGGGGTGGCACCGTAGACCTGAACTCTCCTGCACATCAGGGATCAGCAAGTGTCCACAGGTTTCTGCAGTGTTTTATGCAGGACTCCAGAGAAGCCCCAGGGCAGGAGTCAGGCATCTGGGGTGCAGATTCGTACAGAGGCATTGGTAGGTTGCACCTGCACAAAGCCGAACTAAGCTTTTGGAGCTGGGCTAAGAGTGAGACAGAAGGAACAGAGTGGTGCATAAGCTGTCTCTTACAGAGCTAAAGAAACAAACCGAGAAAGCAGAACTTAATGAATTAAAAACAAATACAAAAATAGAGCAGTGTTCTAAATAAATAAAAAAGCTGGTTCATTGAAAATGAAACGACATTAAAATAGATAAACCACTGCTCAGCCTTACTCTATTAGTCTGTTTGGGATGCCGCAACAAACTGCTATCGACTGTGCGGCTTTGCCAACAGAAATGTATCTTACAGCTCTGGAGGGTCGAGTCCCAGATGAAGGTGCTGGCTGATTTGACTCGGTGACAGCTCTCCTTGGGTTTCAGATGGCTGCCTTCTCGCTGTGTGCTCATGTGGAAAGGACCTATCAGATTAGGGCCCTACCCTTATGACCTCATTTAACCTCATTACCTCCTTGACAGTCTTATCTCTAAATATAGTCACATTGGGGGGTTAGAGCTTTAGCATATTAATTTGGGGAGGGGGCACACATTCAATCCATAACACCAAGGAAAACGTCTGAAAGCACATACACTCAAAAGAAGAAGTGGGAAAAGCAAAGTAGCTTGCTACTAGATATGAAGGGAACAAAAAGAATCATAAACCAGTGTTTTCTGCAACTGCACTCAAGTTGAAATCCTGGAAGACATAGATGAGATTTTAGGAGAGTATAAATTTCAAGGCTGATTTTAGAATCAATGAAAATCTTGCAAATGGGAGGGAGGTGGGGAAGACGCGGGGGTGGGTCGGTGGGGATGGGAGTAAAAGGCAGAAAACTGTACTTGAACAACAATTAAAATTTAAAAAAAAATTTTTTAAATCTTGAAAATCAGAAACTAACCAGCCGACGTGTTTGGAACATTACGAACAAGGGGCTCAGGGTCGTGGGGCCTAGATCCCGTAGTGATCCTCCCTCTCAGGCAGCTGAGGTCTTGGCTTCTGCGTTCTCAGAAGGCTGGGAAGTATGAAGATGCAGCCTGGTACCTCACTTCTGGTCCAGCTTCCTCAGGGTAAGTCTGGGCCATGAGGAAGGCTGACCTCACAAGGTCTCCAGAGACATTAGGACTTGAGGACACTGAGCTGTGTAAGGAAACAGGCAGGATGTGGGGAGGCAGCTGTTCCTTCCCAGGTGTCGCCTCCTGGGACCTGACTCTGAGGCCTCTGTGCTGGGGCTGCAGCCCCTCCAGCCTGTCTTCTCTTGCTGTGTAATTGAGGACGACGGTTGTTTTGAGAAAGAGAAATAAGTCAAAGATCTTGGTAATGTTCTGTCTCTTGAGCTGAATCACTGACACACGAGTATTTGTTTTAGCATTCTTTGGACTCCACATACATTTTTATGGTATACTTTTGTGTGTATGATATATGTCAGAACTGTGAAATCTTAGCGTTCCTGGTAGTGAGCATCAGGGTCATGGCTGGGAGGAGCCCTGGGAACCGAGCAAGCGAACAGATCACCCCCTTCTTCCTGCGGCCCCTCCTGCTCACACTCGTGTCTGGACACAGGCTGCCTGCATCTTAGATCTTCCGTTCCTGGTTGGGGTGGCTTGCCTCACACCTGCTTCTCTCTGTGTTTCTCTTAGCTCCAGCCCTTCTCAAAGAGGAAGACCAAGCTATGGCAGCCGTGCTCCTGACAGCCTGGCCCCAGGTGAGCTGTGGATTCTTCAGGTCTTCCTCTGAGCAGTTTCAAATTGAAGAAATGGAGAAAGGAAGCTGGAGAGGGCCTCCATGCTTGTGCCTGCCAGACTGGAACTTGTGGAAAGAGTGGTGGTGTGAAGGGATGGAAACAGCAGGAGAGTGTGCGCGAAGGCAGAGGTGTAGTCTTGGACACAGTGAGGTTCTTTGTTCCTCTGGTAGAAGGGCTTCCCCAGCAGAGGGCTCTAGGGAGTAGGAGATGTGGACGCTGACCACGTAGGATGCTCTGTGTATGTGTGTGAGCAGAGGAAGTAGCAGAGGACTGGGATTCCCAGGGACTGGGGTGTAGGTAAGAGGAGCCGGATCAATGTAAAGGATAGCTGTGCTTCTAATTCAGGGGAAGGTGAAGGGAGTAGGGTCAAGGGAGGAAAAAAACTGGAAGCCCTGCGGGCCATGAGGTCTCACTGTGTCCTGAGAGGCTTTCAGGGCTTGGGGTGCACTGACTCAAACTTTAGGTATCGGGTAACAGCCCTGGACCCTCTACCCCAGAAAAATATACACGCAAACCAAGTTTTTCATACAATTTCAGGGACTTCATGGACCCCCTGAAGCTCATCCATGGAACTCCATGGATGGCAGGTTGGGAATAATCATAGTCACAGTAACTAGTAACATCGTTTGAGGCTTCCTATGCTGCAGGCACCATACTAAGCACTTTGCATGGACCACTCATTCCTGACACCTGCCCTCTGAGATAAGTGCTATGTTGGGCTCGTTACACCACGACAGACACAAAGGCAAAGGGAGATAGAGTGACTTGCCCAAGATCACACAGCCCTTGTGTGAATCTTAATTTTTTTTTAATTGATTTGAGAGAGAGAGAGAGAAACATCGATTTGTTGTTCCACTTACTTATACATTCATTGCCTGATTCTTGTAGGTGTCCTGACCAGGGATTGAACCTACAACCTTGGCATATCTGAATGATGCTCTAACCAACTGAGCTACCTAGCTAGGGCCCACTGTGTGATTCTTAACAGCCCAGCCTTATGATGTATATGGAACCAGTGATGTTAACTTCGTTAGATCTGTGATGGCTGTGTAGGGAATGACTTTCAGGGAGATTCAAATGCAGGGTGATAACTTCAGAAAGGATTCCAGTGGTCCAGGCAATGTGGGCTTCCTCAAGAGAAGCACTTATTAAAGAGGGGGCATGTAATTCAAGTAATCCTGCAGATAGAAGTCTTTAGGACCTAGAGTCAGAGTTAGAAGATGGGGGTGAGGAAGAGGGAGGAGATCAGAGTGACTCCCCAGGGTTCTAGCTGAGGATTCCTGCACAGATAGTGGTGGATGGCACCAGGTGTGTTGTGAATTCATTTACCTGGGTAAAGGGTGGTGGCAGTGGGCAGTGAAGGCATCTGATTTTGTGCAGACAAGTTGTTTGACCTGTCCACGGTCACACAGTGAGTGACATAGAAAAACCCAGAAGTTGGACTAGATTTGTTGCTGGGGAGAGGTTGGTAGAGTTAAGCAAGATGGATCCTGGCAGAGAGGAGTTGAGGGCAAGTCCCTGCCAATGTGTCCTCGAGGTTGTTAGAGAAGGCTGAGTGGGGCAGAGAGCGGCAGAGAGCAGCCAGAGGAGAACCCGAATTCTTGGGTGAAATTGGAAAGGATGGGGCTTGAATGGGAGAGGATAACAGAAAATGTCGGGTCTTCGGCAAGACCTGTCTTTAAGCAGAATGGGCTTGTGCCTCCACCCCTTGACCCTTGGTCTTTAAGCCAATCTACAACACTGAACTTCCTCTGCTGGAGGTTCTGAAGCAGAGGCTGATGATGAGAAAGCTGGTGATGGGAATCAGGCCGCAGATGGGGCCAGATGAGATGGAAGCCGTGGCCGTTCCTTGCGGGTGGCTCAAGGTTTGTGGGTGAGGGCAAGGTGTGGGGAGCAGCACAGGGCTGACATTAGGCACAAGGAGCAGAATGAAGAAGCCACGATCTTGAGATGAAGTAGGAATGCTCAGTTCAGTCCTGAGCTGTATTCACCAGTGAGGGGATGGTTATGTTACTATATTTTTTATAAGTATAAAAATGACTTGAGGTTTCTTTGCCATGAGAGAAGTCAGATATTCTCTGGTGTACTTTCCAGGTGTTTTTCTCAAATCTTTCGCCTTGTTATTAATTTCATGCTCTTCACAAGCTCCCTCCCCAAGCCCTTATACTGCCCTCTGCCCCTCACTTAGGGCCTGAGCCATGGAATTGGCCCTAGGGCAGCAGGAACCTGTTGTTTCAGAAGTTGGTGACCTTCGAGGATGTGGCTGTGTACTTCACCCCAACGGAGTGGGATGGCCTGTCCCCTGCACAGAGGGCCCTGTACAGGGATGTGATGCTGGAGAATTATGGGAATGTGGCCTCCCTGGGTAAGGCTTCTTCCCCTGGACCCAGATTCTGGCTCTTGGGGTTTCCTGACTTCTTTTTCCCTTACATGTTATAGATGGGGTCTCCAGTAATCCTTTACTGAGTGGGAACCCCAGAGCCTGAGTTCCTAATCCCCTAGACCCAGGGGTTGCTGGGAAGAGCAAACCCTGAGCCCTATTTGCAGTCAATGTAGGACTTTGCTGGGACTAGTATGCATTTTTTTTTTTTTTATGTGTTGGACACAGTGTGGAAAAAGTAACTTCTTGTTTCACAGTGTTAGGTTCCCCCTCACCCTGCCTGCATCTTAGGTCTTTCCAAGGATGTCAGTGTACTCTGAATATCTCAGGCCAAGCTCAAAAAGTGGCATTCCTTTGCACAGATTCTCCCTGTTTGTTCACCATGAAGTCTCTTGGGCCCACAGTCTGGGCCTTTCCCAAGACCTGCCCCTCCCCCCCAATACACCTTATAAGAACCCCTCCCCTCCACCACCACCAGTCCTTGGGCATGGACATCCTGGGGCTCTTACCTTCCCTCTCCATTGCAGAGACAGTCTGAGAAGAGGCTGAGGAACTCATCCATGGGAGATAATTCACTCTTCTCCCCTATCTCCTTGCCCCCAAAACAGGATTTCCAATTCTCAAACCTGCTGTGATCTCACAACTAGAAGGAGGAGGTGAGCTGGGGATCTCATCTCTGCTGGCCACTGGAGTAGGCTCAGACCCTCCAAGCCTCTGGACAGGTAAGGGAGGCACATGTTGCCCATTATGCTGGAAAGTTTAACTCTTTAGGAAGAAAGAGTTAACATGTAAGCATGAATTAACATATTAGCAACATTTAAGCATGCCACATTTATTGGCCAGGTGTACAGAGTAAAATTTAAATAAATTTTGATGATTTATAGAGATAGGTTCAATTGAGACCTTTTCTAACTATTTTCACAATTTGCTCTTTCTAATTCTAAGAATAGCTCATTTTTCATATGCCTCATTTTAACTCTTTGGAATCCTAATTTTGTAATTCTACCTTGCTCAGAACAAAATGAATGAATTCAGTAATTTGGGTGGGCATTCTTGCCTTTTCTCTAATCATTGTCTATTTAATGCAGAGGATACAGAATCAATAGTCTTTTTACATAAAACGGCATAATAACCTGCTGGTTAAAAGTACAGTTTTCGGAGCAGACTTTGTGAGGTTCATTCCCAACCGTGCTACTTTGTAGTTGTGTAACTGTGAGCAGGTCAGTTATTTAGTTGTCTAAGAATCAAGGTTCTCATCTGTGAACGTGGAATAATAAAACTAGGTTACTAGTGCTGGTCTTAACAGGTTGAGGATAAATGAGATAGTATGTCGTGTGTGGTTTATAGTGTGTGCTTGATAATATATTTGTTTTTATTATTCTTGGTGTTTTGGAGGAGACAGGTTTATATAGTAAGCTGTAGGGAATAAGGCTTACTTATAAGCCTTACTTATAAGAAGGGAGGGAGTGCCCTCAATTCAGTGCTTTTCAAACCATGTGCAAATGAATTACCTGGGAGTCTTACAAATATGCAGATTGTTATTCAGTGATCTGGTGTAGGGCCAAGATTCTGCATTTCTATTAAGTTTCCAGGTGATACCAACGCTTCCAATTCCCACACCACACTTGAAGTAGTGAGATTCTCATTGGCCCAAGCAGAGTAGCTGCCAGATGACTTCCCGGTTCCCGTGTGGCCCAGCTTTACTTCCTACTTTGGGGGTCCATAAGATTCTCTTACAGCCCTTCAACGAATCATCCTTATTTATTTATTTATTTATTTTAAAACACATTTGCACATTGTCCTTTTATTTTTTTAAAGATTTTGTTTATTTATTTTTAGAGAGGGAAGGGAGGGAGAAAAAGAGAATGAGAGAAACATCAATGTGTGGTTGCTGGGGGCCATGGACTGCAACCCAGGCATGTGCCCTGACTGGGAATCAAACCTGTGACACTTTGGTTTGCAGCCCATGCTCAGTCCACTGAGCTATGCCAGCCAGGGCTGAATCATCCTTTTTTAAAAGATGGTTTCAGCCCTGGCTGGTGTGGCTCACTGGATTGAGTCCGGCCTGTGAACCAGGGGTTCACAGGTTCGATTCCCAGTTAGGGCACATGCCTGGGTTGTGGGCCAGGTTTCCAGAACAGGGTGCATGAGAGGAAACCATACATTGATGTTTCTCTCCCTCTCTTTCTCCTTCCCGTCCCCTCTCTAAAAATAAATAAATATGTAAAAAATAAAAAAGATGGTCTGAGGGATTTTTATTCCTGTCATTCTGCCAGATGATCCCTGACCAACAAAGACATATTTTGGACATGGAGAATTTGAAGTGGTTGGCATACAGAGGGAGAAAAAAGATGATATTGTGGAGATCCTTAATCAAAGGAGTCTGGATTTCATTCTGTAGGCAGCAGATAGTCCTGAAGTTTTTGAACAACCCATCATGATCTTAGCTGAAGATAGAAACACGGTATAGTTAGTGTGTGTAGGTTTAGTGGGGCGACAACTCAGATGGGTTTGGGGCAGGCAGAATGGGAGGGTGTTGGGTACAGGGCCCATGTCAGCAGAGCTGACTTTCTTTAAAAAAAAAAAAACAAACACTTTTTCAGAAGCCCCATCTAGTGATTTCTGTTTAAATCTTATTTGTTAGAATGAGGAAATGGCCATCTACACTACAAGAGAGGGTGGAAAACACAGTTTTTAGCTGTAATTTTTATTGCTACCTCATAAAAAAATAGGGGATGTGCTAGTAAGGAAGAAAGGGAGAGCAGATATTTGATCAACCAGTAATCAGTAACATGTGCTACACAACAGGATTTGGTAAATAGGCCACCGGTATAGAAAATTGGCTAAGAATGTAAGTGGTTCATCCACATATTTTAATCAATGTGAAAAAATGTTGACCTTCAGTAGAAATCAATGAAATACAAATTAAAATGAGATGTTTCACCTATATATTGAAAACAACTAAATTATAATAAGTGATGGTGAGAGTACAGCAAAACAGAAATAGACTTCTGGAGGAGAATGAGAGTTGGTAGTTTTTTTAGAGAGTACTTTAGCAATACATACCAAGAGCCCTTCAAAAATTTGTACTTGATAAACTGGATAGTCCCTTTTAGAGCTATATCCTAATAAATTAATCAAGATATAGATAAAGATGCATGTGCATGAAATTTCATTATAATTTTATGTAATGAAATAATGGGAATAACCTGAATTTTCACATAGACTGGTTAAATTAGGGTACCTCTCAAAAGATACAAACTTCTAGTTATGAGTATTAGGGATGCAATGTATAACATGATGACTACCTACCATTGCTATATGATATATAATAAAGTTGTCAAGAGAGTCAATCCTGGGAGAGTAAATCCTTGTGAGGGAGTTCTCATCACAAGGAGAACATTTTTTCCCACTTTTTAAAAAAAGATTATTTATTTATTTATTTTTAGAGAGGGGGGAAGGGAGGGAGAGAAACAGAATGTGCAAGAGATACATTGGAGAGTTGCCTCTTGCATGCACCCAGCTGAGGACCTGAGCTGCAACCCAGGCATGTGCCCTGACCAGGGAATCAAACTGGTGACCCTTCGGCTTGCACTCATTCCACTGAGCCACACCAGCCAGGGCTCCTTTATTTTTTTATTTTATCTGTATGAGAAGATGGATGTTAGCCAAACCCATTGTGGTAATCATTTCACTATATATGTAAATCAAACCACCATGCAGTGTGCCTTAAACTTATACAGTGATGTATGTCAATTATTTCTCAGTAAAACTGGGGAAAAATAAGGTACCTGTGCAAGAAGGAGTACTATTTAGCAATTAAAAAATATTTTTACAGAATATCTAAAGACATTGGAAAACTATCATTATTAATGTGAAGGAAGAAAAGCTTCATTTTTGGAAAAGAATGTTTTGGGAAAAATGATTGGAAGGAAAATGATTGGGGAAGAGATACCTCAGAAGGTCAGCAGTAGTTATTGTTAGGTGGTTGTATTTCAGATCATTTGAATTTTCTTTTTTGTAAATTTATGATGCTACAGATGGATATTATTTTTATAATTGGGGAAATCAATAGTATTTTGAAAATATTTGTTAGAGAGATTCAGGTCATTTGGGTCTACTGAGGGTGATTTTAATAACATACTGGGGCAGGGGGCATATTAGATGTGGTTGAGGAGAGATGAGAGATAAAAAATATAGAGACAGCATTTTGGGCCCACTTTTGAGAAATTTGGGAACAAATGCAGAGATCAAATGTAGCTCTGTTGGGACTATAGGGATTATAGAAAGATGAATGAGTTTATAGAAAGAATTGTATAGAATGACCAATTTTAGGATTGAGTAAAGAAGTAAAAAGATAGGTAAGGAGCATGCAGCAGTGTTCCGGGGGGGTGGGAAAGAATGGGGTTAAAGGGATCAATAGTGGACCTAAACAGATCCTTTCTGAAGCAGAGAAAAAAGAAGTTGAAGGAGAAATTTTGGAAAGCCTAGAGTTTTAAGTTCTAAGGAAAGAAACAAACTTCTTTCCTTTTTGCTTCTTGGTATCGCTAACATTTGCCATCCCTAGTATTGCCACATGTTGGATCCTCTGCCTTTTCCTTCTTAAGTTATTTCCATTTTTATTGACAAAGGGCTCAATGATATAGGGGGAACTGAGGAGAAACTGCAGAGTGTAGTGAAGTATGGTGTGATGGAAAGAATGCTCATTTGGTGGATAAGACCTAGAATGTTGTTCCACTGCTGTCTGTTTCAACCGTGATGTTATTGGTCATTGATTTAGAGATAGGTGATCTTTTAAAATCATTACTTTCAAACTTATAATATTGGCACATGCCCAGAATAGCACAAAGTATATAAAATGTGTGTGTTGGGGGTGGAGGTGGGGGGACCTACCAAGCTTTCAGTGTCAGTTTGCTCAGTTTCTTGTGTCTTCTTTCAGAAGTTTTCTAGGCACATACAAATATATATGTCTATGTCAGTCCTTTTAATTTTCTTTTACACAAACGGAATCTACTCTACATACCATTTCTCAACTTGTTTTCCCATTTAACAGTATACTTTGGGCATCTTTTCCTGTCAGCATATATGTATTTATTTCATTTTCTTGCCAGCTACATATTATTCTACCTTATGGATGAACCTTAGATTCTTTGACCTAAATTTTAAAGACCCCTTTGATTATTGTGATCCTTTATTCCTTCTAGCACAGTTCTTTTTTTCTAACATGGTTCTTATATGACATTTTGTTTTCTGTTTCTTTTATAGTAGATATTGATATCCAGACTGACAATGATATAACAAAGGAACTATACAAAGAAAAACATAATGCATCATTTGTACTCCAGGGGAACTCTTCCCAGGAAATAGACTTCTCAGAAGCCTATATTGTAGAAAAACAACAGCAGGAAGTCCACCTAGTAGGAAGTATGAAGAAAGAGAACAGCAATATTATTGATGGAACAGTGAAAGACAACACAGACCCCACGGAGGAGTGTTTGTTCAGTCAGAATCCAAACTTGAACCAGTGTCCTACCATCCTCTCCACTGGAGAGGAACCCCCTACATGTATGGGATTGAAGAAAGCCTTGAACTTTGACACAAAACTTACTTATCATGAAATAAGTAATTCTAGAGAAAGACCTTTTGAATGTGAAGAATTAGTGGAAAACTTTAAGTATAACTCTCAACTTACTCGTCAAGACAGCTACACTAGGGAGAAGCCCTACCAGTGTAAGGAGTGCAGCAAAGTCTTTAGTGTTAAGGCAAAATTAATTTGGCATCAAAGACTTCATAGTGGGGAGAAACCCTTCAAATGTGTGGAGTGTGGGAAAAGCTTCAGTTACAGTTCCCATTACATCACCCATCAGACAGTCCACAGTGGGGAGAAGCCCTATCAGTGCCAGGTGTGTGGGAAAGCCTTCAGTGTTAATGGGAGTCTAATCAGGCATCAGAGAATCCATACAGGAGAGAAGCCCTATCAGTGCAAGGAGTGTGGAAATGGCTTCAGCTGCAGTTCTGCATATATTACACATCAGAGAGTTCATACTGGGGAGAAACCTTATGAGTGTAATGATTGTGGGAAAGCTTTCAATGTTAATGCAAAATTAATTCAGCACCAGAGAATCCACACTGGAGAGAAACCTTATGAATGTAATGAGTGTGGGAAAGGCTTCAGGTGCAGTTCCCAGCTTAGGCAGCATCAGAGCATCCACACTGGAGAGAAACCCTGTCAGTGTAAAGAGTGTGGGAAAGCCTTCAGTAATAATGCAAAACTCATTCAGCATCAGAGAACCCACACAGGTGAGAAGCCCTACGAGTGTAGTGAATGTGGAAAAGCCTTTAGTATCAAAGGGAAGTTAATCCAGCACCAGAGAATCCACACAGGTGAAAAGCCCTACAAGTGCAATGAATGTGGAAAAGCCTTCAGGTGTAATTCCCAGCTTCGGCAGCATCTGCGAATCCACACTGGAGAGAAGCCCTATGAGTGCAATGAGTGTGGAAAGGCCTTCAGTGTCAATGCTAAACTAATGCAGCATCAGAGGATTCACACTGGGGAGAAACCCTTTGAATGTAATGAGTGTGGGAAATGTTTCACATCTAAAAGAAACCTACTTGATCATCACCGAATCCATACTGGAGAAAAACCTTATCAATGTCAGGAATGTGGGAAAGCCTTCAGTATCAATGCCAAACTAACTAGGCATCAGAGAATACACACTGGGGAGAAGCCTTTCAAATGTATGGAATGTGAGAAAGCATTTAGCTGTAGTTCTGACTATATTGTACATCAGAGGATCCATACTGGAGAGAAACCCTTTCAATGTAAGGAGTGTGGAAAAGCTTTCCATGTTAACGCCCATTTAATTCGGCATCAGAGAAGTCACACTGGAGAGAAACCCTTCAGGTGTGTGGAGTGTGGCAAAGGCTTCAGCTATAGTTCTGACTGCATTATACATCAGACTGTCCACACTTGGAAGAAACCCTTTTTGTGTAATGTGTGTGGCAAAGCCTTCAGGTTTAGCTTCCAGCTTAATCAGCATCAGAGTGTCCATAGTGAAGGAAAATCCCAGTGAGAAGGATGTAGAAAACTCTCAAGATTAATGCCGAACTGAATCAGGGGTCGTCAGATTTACCCTGGTGGAAAACCCAGAGAGAAATTAATATGTCAGTCTTCACATGAAAACAGACTTTTTTCATTTTATTCCATTTTAAATTAGAAATGATGACCAGTTAAAAAGTAACATTCAAAAACAAATTATTTTGTTTTATACCAACATCCAATTAGAATATACCCCATTGCCAACACCATCAAGAAAAGTAGACTTTTCTAGGAGTACGCTTAATTATAATGGAGGACCTACATGGATCTCCACTGAGGGCCACAAAAGGAAACTTAATGGGGGACAGAGAGGGAAACCTTGTTCTTGGATAGAGATTCACTCTACTTAATTTATTTCCCTTTCATTTTTGACAACAAGCATGCATAACTTTTGTAAAGAGGAAAAACATTAAAGATTTCCTTAAAAGAAGAATGTGAGTAAATTTTTTACTTTCATGGAATAGAGAAAACCTTCCTAAGCGTCAGATGAAATCTAGAAACCAAATAAAAGGGGAAATAGTAATAAATAGATTAAAAAATGACTAAGATGTTCAGTCTTGATAGCACCCTGAGGAGTGAAAATTAGAACGTGCATACAACCACACACAGGAGGCCCCAGACCTTCCTCCCACAGACACAGGATGCACACATGGACTCTCCTACAGCCCACATGCATCAAACATGGACATTCAGAGACAGCCGTAGGCCACCTCCCTGCCCCAGGCATGCTTGCTCCTGTGCTCTAGCTTGAGTGAGCAGTGTTGGCTAGGAGTGCTGTCTTGAGTACTTCAAAGGAAATATTCCTGTCAGAAAGCTGATGACAGTATAGGACTTGAGCAGTGTCCAGAGATGCCATTGTAGAGGTCCCCTTCTCCCCCACCTTCAAGCTAGGAACTGAGCATGTGTGGAGGCAGACCCTGGAGCAGAACCCTCCTTCCCCTGACCCTCTGGCCCTGCACCTCTGGGAAATTCCAGACCACAGACCCGGAGATGCCCCAAGTCATGGGGTCCGAGCCCATTTACTTACAGGGAAACAGGCCCAGAGATGGATGGCACTGTCCTGGTCACACAGCAAACCAGTGGCTGATGTGGTTACTTACCCAGGCCAAAGGAAGTTAGAGGGCCGCAGCTCGCTCTAACCTTCCTGGTGCACAGACAGCCTGTAGATGGCTTCTGGATGTGCCCGTCGGGGGAGGTGGGAACAGGAAGTCCTACAATCCCGGTTCCCAGCTGGGTCTGGCAGTTTGTGCTGTGGAAGAAACTAGGCAGGGACTGGAGGAGGGTCGAGCCACTGAAGACAACTTGATGTCCAGGATCTGCTACCAATGTGTGTCACCTTGGCTTCTCTGGGTCTCAGGCTCCTGGTCACCTTAGGGGTTGAGGGCTGGTCCCAGGTGTCTGGGCCCTTCCTACCTGAATGGTCCCTAAGGGTTCCCTACCTCTCTGTATGTTTGGTTTTGTCCAGGGTAAGTCCTGTTCAGACCCCAGGGACACCAGGAGGAAGCAGACACCTGCAAAGCTTCACGAAGTCCTGTGGTCCCATGGCCCAGAACTCCCTGGGTCCACTGGAGGCCTTACAAGGACAAAATGGAGCCACGGTACTGGAGACCCCGTCCGCTCACAAAAGCACTTTTCTGAATTGGAGCCATGGGCCTGGAAGAGCCAGGGCTAGTCTTTCTCCGTCAGTCAGGGTCAGCATGTTCTGTCCCCGCAGCAGAACGCACCCTCCCGCCGCAGCCTGCCACACTGGAAGGGTTCTCAGAGAATATGCGGTTATGCCAGGCCCAGGTCAGGAGGGGAAACTGAGGTCCGGAGGAAGACATGGCTTCCGCACGCACCCAGCAAGTCTGGGCAGAGCCGGGGAGAGAGAGGCCCAGGCAGGGCGGAGATGGGTGGGTCCTTGAGCTGGTGCAGGCAGGGCTCAGCGTCATCTGGAGGGTGGGGGCAAGAGGCTCGGTACAGCGCTCCCCTCCACGCGGTGGGCACAGGGTCCTGAGGAGAGGCTTCTGGACTCTCGGCCTCTGAGGTCTCCATTCTCCCCAGACCACAACCCCACTCGTCTGCTGCCCTATCCTGACGAGGACCTGAGGCCACCTTCTCCTGACACAGACGGCTCCACTCAGTTGAACGTTTGTGGAAGGCAGGCCCCTTCCGCAGGCCGGGGCTCGCTGAGTGCTGGGGAACCTGAGGTGAGCGAGCCTTGGCCTTCTCAGAGAGCTCCCCGCTGCCCCTGCCCCCATCTCCCAGGCGCCACCGGCACCACACACCACGTGGTCTGGGCACATCCGACAGCTCCCAGGACTCCCCGGGGGCTCCAGCCTGGGCTGAGCTCGCTTGGCGGAGCTCTAAGTCCTGCGCCTGCCCTCCGCCGCCCGGCGCCTGAGCCTCCCTCCTGCTCCAACTTCCTCTCCCACTGCTCACCAGTACCCACCCTGTACCCGGGCGGACTGGTCCGTCCGTGGCTCCGGTGATCCTGAAGTGTGGCCCCATCCCCTCCCGGCTACTGAAATCCCACCCACGCTCAGCCCAAGCCCAGCCTCCAGGAAGCCCTACCCAGCTGCAGGGACGCACGGCACGATCTCTCCTGGCTAGTTTCCTTTAGCCCGCCACGGTAAGAGTAGTTGCGCGTATCCGCCGTCCACCTTTGGCCTGAGAGCCCAGAGCCCACGTGCTCCTAGCGTGTGAACGCGAGGCTCCGGATCCCACCCGCCCAGGGCCACGGGCGCGCGGGGTCAGGAGATGGGGGACGGCTTTCCCTAGCGACCCTTCACTCCCCAGGCAGCCTTGGGCGCGCGCCCTCTCACCCTGGGACTGTTTTGGCCTCCGTGTGAGACAGAGGAGGGAAGTCAGGCCTGCGCGTCTGGCGCCCCAGACTTGCAGTTGGACAAGGAGAAGCCATTAAGAGTCACTGGCTGCCAGGCTTGGCCTCCTGCTACCCCTGGTGGCCGGTTTGCTCATTGCAGGGCAGGAGCAGCCACAGCCCGCTCTACTATAAGGGCGGGAAAACAACCGCAGCTCTTGGTGGAAAATCTGGCGCATCCGCTGGGATTAAGGGTAGGGGTGGACATGATCTGAGAAACCCGGAAGGCCTGTGGAGGCGCCTGACTGTACAGAGCTGGGCGCGGGTGAGAGCCCATGCTCTCCAGAGTCGGAAGAAGTCTCAGAATGATTAGGCCAGCGCATTGCAAACTTTTTAAAAAAGAAGCACGACCCCCCACACCTCTTCTCCGCCCCAGAGGTCCATACTGTAATTCACATAAGGAGGGCTACTGTGGGGGACTGTGAAGGGGCCAGTTGCCAGCCGGGCCATGAGAGTGAAGGGCAGTGGGCTTTGCTTAAAGGTAAAGGGTCCAGGAGTCGATAGGCAGGATTCAGAGTACAAGTGGTCCACAGAACGGCTGCAGGTGTGAAATTGTTAAGAATGTAAAAGGGGGGTGATGGGACCCACCACCATGCTCTTCTGGGAAGGGCACACAATAAGGAGTGGTGGCGGGAGGCTACCATAACAAAGAGGGAAGAGGAGAGAGGAAACACAGAGACCATGTGGACAGTGAGGAGGGTCCCGGATATGCCATGCAGTGTCCTTGGGGGGCGGGGGGGGGGGCTTCCCTTCCCTCTTCCCAGTGAGCTGAGCCAAAAGCCACCTCCCGCTTGCTGGCCTCCCTGTCCCCTTGGTCAGCATTGCCTGCTCTGTGTCCTCCTCCCCCAGCTCTCTGCCCTCACCTCTGTGTGGTCATTCCCACTGTGCCACTCCTCTTCCCCTTTTCTACTTGGAGCTGCTGATTTATTGGCTCTCCCTATGGACCACAAGCTCACTGATGGGGGTGGGGGTGATGGAAGTGAATCAGTAAGAGAAGTGTTTTGTGCCTGTGCTTATATAGTTTATACATTTTCATCAACAGAAGTCCAGGTGAATTCCCAGGGGCCTCTAGTGCTGGGTTGAGTAGGGGTAGGGGAGCAGTATCCTAAGCACCACCATCAAGCACATGGGGCTACCAGCACAAACGCCTTGGAGGTGGTAAGAATTGGGTTGCTCTCCTGTTACCCATCAGAGGGCGCTCCAGCCTCCAAATAAACATCTGGAGACTGAAGTTTGAGGTCCGGCTCTGAGGAACGGAGCTCTGGCTTCAGTGTTCATCCACCCATTGCTAGGGCTCCCCACTACCACCATCACCACATTTGGCTACAGCTGGCCTGAGTCTCTGGGCAGGGGCACCGGCAGCTTGCTGGCTCATCTCCTAGGAAACCTAAGGTAAGAAAGCCACCAGCCAAACTGCCTGAGGCCAGTAAATGGAACAGAAGAATGTGTTCAGGGGGAGGGCAGGGCCACTGGTGGAGGTGAGTAGAGGGAGAGGATCCAGCTTCACTGCCCCTTTCCCTCCTGCCAGAAATGACTACCAGACAGAAGGGATAGGCAGTGCTTCTTAGATGGGGCCCCCAGACCAGCAGTAGCACAGCATGGTGACATCGCATGGGAACTTGTTAGAAATACAAAGTCCTGGGCCCCACCCCGGACCTAGAGAATCAGAATCTCTGGGGGTGGGCCTGGCACTCTGTGTTAACAAGCCCTCCAGGGAGTTCTGATGAGTGCTCAAATTTAAGAACCGCTGGATGAGACAGCTGCAGAAAAGAAAGGCTTCCCTGGTCTTCACTTTCAGAGACACCGGTGGAAGATGAAAGGTCACAGAGCCAGGCCTGCTCAAGTCAGATGCAGGGGAAGAAAAAGTGGCTCTTCCTTCCTCCCACAGTCACCCCTGTTGGTGTTGTCCCAAGTCAGCCTTCCCGAGCAAAGGGTATTCACAAAGAGATGAAAATCTGAAATGGCTTCTGTGTATAGCCCAACCCAACCATCCAGCTTTGAACAAACACAGTCTAAAGACTTGTCCCCGTAAAAATGTCTCATTCCATCTTTCCTCCTGCCATGAATTTACCTGGCAGATCCCCATCTGGTCCCTCATCCAATGACACAGAGATTAGTCGGAAATGGCCGCCCAGCAGTGGCTCTGTGGTTGGTTGTGGTTGTGGCCACGCCCGGTAGATGAGCCATTCATGGGCCAGACACTTGACCCAGGTTCTGACCTAGGGCTTGATTATAATTAGGGTCCAGTTTAAAAGCTGCTGCACTGCAGGGGCAGGGACAGTGCCTGGGTGTGGAAGGGAGGGTCCAGAGCTAGGAGAGGGGGGTTGTCAGCAGGAGCTAGATGTCAGCTCCTCTGACTTCCCAGCTCCAGGGTTTGACCTTCTGCTTTCAGAGGTGAGTTTCACTCCCTGAGGATTGGTGAGTGCTTATCTCATGAGCAGGGTTGACTCCCGGCTCAGGCGTTTTGTGTTGAAACTTGGGAAGGAGGGAGTTGCCTGTTAAGGGAGAGGTCTCTGTATTTCCAGCTCCAGGGAGAGGCGGGGGGAGTCCGGGCTGTCAACTCTTCCTTCTGCTCTATCTAGAAAGCCTTACCTTATTCTTGGGGTGAAATCCTGGTGAAATGGCCTCACTGCCTTTAAGCTTTACCTCCAAGCGGGAGCCTGGGCAGCTGGCCCCTCCTTATCACGCTGGGCTGGGAACACGTGTGCTCTGTGCTCTTACCCAGCCCTGGCGTTCCAGTTAAAGGGGCCTGAGGTGCGTCAGGATGGTTTGTTAAATTATTTAAATAAGTAACTAGGACTCATGAGGGCCCCAAATTATCATTGGGAGGAACATGATCAAAAAAGGACTTGGCTGAAAAAAGACTTAAGTACCAATAGCTTTAAATTTTGGTTCAAATTGCCACAGATATGCAAAAACGACCCCCAAGTTTTAGAGCAACAAATCTCCCTCTCATTCTTTCCTGTTTGCCAATTTCCATCCCCAAGGGCAACACTCTTCCTAATATGTGTATACAAACATATGCAGAAAAAGGTTCTCATTTCCATCCTTCTTTTACACAAAAGCTGCATGTTTCCTGAATCCACCCCTTTCCCCATTAACACACCTTGGAATTTTCCATATCCATGCCTTGGTGCCCTTGTTGTTTTTCACAGTTGTGTAGTATTCCACATTGTGCAAGTACTATAACTTATTTCACCCGTCCCCTCCTTTGCACTTGTCCAGTCATCTGCTATCATGACTAATGCCACAATGCTTCAGCTTGTACATATATTTTCTTGCATACATTCCAGTGCACCTTTAGAATGAATTCTTCGAAGTGAAACTACTAGGTGTGAGGGAAACTGCACTTAGAATTATGGTGGATGTCGCCTTCCTTCCTCTGACAGGGAGGTAGTAGGGAAGGAGACTGTTTAGAGCCAGACAGGGCAGCATCTGAACATCTTCTCTGTGCTTTCTACCTATTTTCTCACCTGCTCTGTGTTCAGTTTTAAAAATTTGTAAAATGTGACCCACACAATTGTGAGATTAAAATGGACTCGGCTATGAAAAGCATTGGTTGGTGGCCAAACACATAGCGAGAGCTCAAAGGCATCACGAGTCATGGAGGCCGCAATACAGCTGCCCTGCATTTCCCCAAGGGCAGGCAGCCTGGGCTCTCTGGGGAACGTGCTGGAGCATCCGAGGAGAGCCGAGGAGAGGTGTCTGAAAGCCAATGACAGGCTGGTCAGCAAGGCCTTGGTTCCAACTGGAAGATGCCCTCCCCAGCACCACCATCATTTTGCCCCTGGGGTTTCTAATATTCCCTGTCCATGGAACACTGGACTCCGCCCCAGGACCTTCTGGGGCTAGCCTGAATGAAAGCACTTGGTTTGCCTTAAATCCTCCAAGCTTTGGTCCCTGGCACAGTCTGCAAATAAACACAATCTCTGCCATTTATTGCATGTTTGTCACTACCCTTACACAGTTCTGAGTATTCTCCATGCACGATTCCGTTCAGTTCTCAGAATTCTCCCATATGGTAGGAAAGATTACCACCAGCAGCCACCCTCTTCATCACTCTGTAGCCTTGCCCCATCCAAGTGGAACATCCTGTTTGCATGACTTCTTCAGGGTTCTTTCACGCTGTCCCCTGCAGGGGCCACGAAGCCCTGTGATGTGAGTGGAGTTTCCTGTGGCCTTCCATTTTATTCAGCCTTTGTTTGACAAACTGACCGTCAGATTTAAGGGTGAGTTTGATTTTATAGGACCGAGAATGCAGTCTGTGTGCCTAATAGGAAAAACATAATGCCAGGTAACATCTCAAAATGTCTGTATGAAACTTTTCACCATGGCTGCCAACTTTTTGTATAAAAAAAATAGTCAGCAGCCACTATTTTGAATCCTCTCACCGTGAGAGGTGTTCTCTGACCATTCTAACTAGACTCCAAAACAGCACATCTGTTTTCTCTCTTGCTACAGGGGATCAGGACGAACTGGAAATCCAGCATCTGTTTGACGGAGCCATTTCTCACCCCCTACAGCCAGGTGGCTCAGGCACTTTGTCTACCTAAGAACATGAGTGGAGAGAAAGAAGGGAACTCGTTCACTATCCTCAGAATTTATGATGAACCAGAGGAGAGGAAGTATAAGTCAGAAGACTCTGACATTTCCGCCCAGCATGGGCTTGAAGCACAATCCCAGCTGGATGGGGTGTATGATATACCTCAGTGGCCCCCAGTTTCTCCAGCACGGCAAAGCCCAGTTTATCAGGAGATGAGCTCTCTGACCCCACAGCAGTGGGCCCTCCAGGCCCTAGACAGGTCTGAGCTCCAGGCCAGCTGGTTCTCTGTGGGTGGGCCAAGAGAAGATGCAGAGTTTGGTTCCAGGTAGGTCTTCCTTGCACGGACTGCTGGGGAAGGGAACTCACCTGCCGGTCGGGGTGGGGGAGGGTGGGAATCCTAGCTCAGAGCTCTCCGTTTCATGCTCTCCCTCTTCTCCATCTGTCATAGCTGCCTACCAGGATCCAGGTTTGGTAAGTCACACCGGGACGGTGTGGGCAGGGAGGGTGGTAGCTCACAGTCCTCAGGTGGGGACCAAAAGCGAGGCCCTGGTGTCAGGAGAACAGGCTGCCAGACACCCTCTCTGCGAGCAGGTAGGCATTGATGTTTCCCTGCAGGCCAGCCTTGTGCTTTGCCACCTTCCAGTGATGAAGTCTGGTCATTCTTCAAAGCAATCGTAAGTGTATTCTTTAAAAAAAAACAAAACCCAACTTGGGATCTTCCCCATCTCTGTCCCCTACCCCCGCAAACAAGAAGCTAGTGAGAAGAAGGTGAGGGTGTGCACTGTGTCCACACTCATCTGCCCCATAGGTGGCAGGTGTCTTGTGGTTCCCTGCTGCTTTTGAACTAGGCTGGCCCCCTTCTCCCACCACCAGTGTTCAGGGTCTTCCATTCATAGGCTCACTTCCTGGAGGGCTGTGTCCTAAGGGTCTCTGAGCCACGCTCTGCACTCACTGCTGTTGCTCAGAATAGTCTGAAAAACAGGGCCTCATTAATGAAGGGAGGAAACCTGGGCACGACCTGGGCTGGTGCGGAAGGTGTTGCTGGTCTGGGGTCCCCAGATGAGGACACGGTTCTGCCTGGGGGTGAGTGAGGAGCTGTGGTGTGAAAGGTGAGGAGTATCATCAGAGGACAGGGGCAGGCAGTCCCCGTGGATGATGGTGGCCGGGGCTATGACTGGTTCATGGCCACCTGCCTCCTCCCCTCCCCAGCCTCCCGTTGCAGATGAAATAGTTGTCAGGCCGAGGGCCCCACGTGTACCCTTGAAGGTTGGCAGACTCCGCCACGGCAAGAGAGTCTGCGCCATTGCCATCAGCAGCTCGACTCACCACGTGTACACGTGTGGTCACGGCTACATCAAGGTGTGGGACAAGAGTGCTCTGCACACCTGGAACAAGGCCCCTCAGGCTCAGCTGAACTTTCAGGTGAGGGTGTTCTAGAGGGCTTGGGGGAACCCAGACAGTGTTCTGTGAGGAGGCTCGGAGTCTGTACTTGGAGGAGGCGATATGAGAATGCGAACCATTCCTACAGGACCATCAGAACTGTGTCCTCACCTGTAAGCTGTTCCCCGACGAGCAGAGCCTGATCACTGGCGGGGTGTCCCGGACCCTGACTCTTTGGGATCTGGCACCCACACCTCGCATCAGGGCACAGCTGGCCTCCACAGGCCCCATATGCTACTCGCTGGCCCTCTCCTCCAATGCCCAGATCTGCTTGGCTTGCTTCAAAGGATTTGTTGAAATTTGGGATTTGCAGAACCAGATCTTGATCAGGTATGACCTGGGGGAGGGACTGATGATAAGGCACTTGGGAAAGCATGTGTCCTTTCTGGACCTCACTTTCCCCTCTGTGGAGTGGGACTAGGTGAGTCAGTGTGGAGAACACACCTGGGGTACCCCTAGGGCCTTTGTGCGCCCAAAACTTCTGGGGGGTCCAACTAATACACAAACCTCTGAGTTCTTTTCTTCTAGGAAGCAAGAAATCCCTGAATATGGGTCCCGGTGCGTGGACCTCACAGGCAATAAGTTCTGGACGGGAGGTGAAGACACCAGGCTGTATTCCTGGGACCTGAGGAGTTGCCAGAAGCTGCAGCAGCTCAGTCTGCATCACGAGGTGCCTGGCCAGCTGTCCCTGCACTGAGTGCGGCTGCCCGAGACTGGGAGCTGTGGGTTTCTGCAGGAGCGGGCCCGAGTGTGGGGGTGGGCACTAAGGAGGGGGCTGGGCAGCCTTGAGCACTGACTCCGGATCTTCTCCCCAACAGATCCTCAGCATTACCCACGACCCCAGTGAGGAATGGGTGTTAGTGGGCCTGAGAACAAGCGATATCATAATCCTGCACTCGAACCGGAAGGAGAAGTTTAAGGCCTCCATCAATAAATACGTCCACCACCACAACCTGAAGTTTGCCTCCTGTGGTGAGTGAGAAACCAGGTGACACCTCAGGGTGTCCTGTCACATTGCAGGGTGTCTACTTACTTGTAGAGCCTGGGTCCAGCCTTATTTCAGACTCCTCATTCCTCCCTCTGCAGCGCTGACACTGGCCAAGCAGAGATCCTCGCGTCCACCTTCCCACTGCTCTCACCTCTGAGCCACCCCCCTTCCCACTGGTGGCCTGGCTATGTTTCCTGCCTTCTCTCTACTCACCTCCTCTCCTTTCCTGACTGTCTCTGAAATGGTAGCTTCCTCCACAGAGTGACAGCCTGAAGACACAGACAGACAGGAGAGGCATAAAGCCCGGGCTGAGTGTCCTTTTGTTCAGTGATGCTTGCCACGATCCTGTGTGGCTGGGGCAGAGGCACTGGTGAGGGGATGGTTCGGGTTGTGTCTCTGATTTTTATGTTTGGGGAAACCGAGGCAGAGAAACCTTTTCCCTAGTCCAGTTGGGAACAGAGCTGGGACTGCAATGCAGTGTCTGGCCCCTCCACCGGTCTTTCCTTCACAGGGAGCTATTTTGTGACCACACTGGGCGAGTCAATCCACTGCCTAGCTGCACCTTCTCTGCAGAGGTTGTTCCAGGTACTGGAAGGAGGGATGTGAAACCCAGGCACTTGGAGCTGGAGCCGCAGATCCCAGGTGGTCAGGTCCCAGAGACAGTGCAGGAAAGTGCCGCTGAAATGGCACCCGGGGCCGTTTAGTTGATGGGGGGGAAGAGGACTTAAGGTCCTATGTACTCGGGGGCTCCACCTTGAGCCCTGATGTCTGGCTCTGTCCCCAAACCGAGTCTCAGGGCTACGCTGAGCCTTGAAAGAGCCCTAGATGAAGACTTCCCCTCTTGCCCAAGCCTGGCCCCTGCATGCAGTCTCTTTTCTGGCCTCTTTTTCCTCTAGGAAGAGGAGTCTACAGAAATCGTGTGTTGTGATGTGTCCTCCGACAACCAGTACCTGGTCACGGGCTCCAAGAACTGTGCCTCAGTTTACCAGCTCTTGTATTGAAGGTTGCACACCATGGTCCTGCTGCTGAAGACCAGAGAAGGCCAGCAGCATGCTGGGAGGGTGACCTTGGGTGCTGGGCAACTTCCGAGGCCACCTGCTCCTCTGCCCCATCCTCGATGGCAGCTCATCTGTGTCCCCTGCCCACACCCAAACACGCCCCTAGCCCTTTCCTCCTAGTTTTTTATTGTACATCTTAGGATTTTTCATTTTCTTATTTTTCCACCACTGATTGCTGGGTTTTAGTGGGGAAACTTGCCTTTATAATTAATAAAATAGAAAAGCAAAAATCAGAATGGCCTGGATATATATGGTAAGTTCTTTACAATAACAAACTCACTGTGGTGGATTGCTTATGATGCCATTCAGCAAATTCCAGGGTAGGGTAAGAATTTTAGACCAGACTCGGTTTTGTCTGTAACATTTTGCAGGGGGGCGGGCAGTGTCAGGGAATTCTTGGAATTTAAGAAGACTCAAGAAGAAATGTATGTACATATACAAACTTTCAGAATGTATCAGAGTTGCTAGACCAACAATGCTCAACACTTGACCCGATTAAGATACCATGAACAGGTCTAACTGTACCCTGAGGAAGGGCTCTCTTTCCTTTTAGCATCCTGCTTCTCAGTGCCTCACCTCATCTCAGTCTTTGGAGGTCCTGATCCTCATTCTGGCATTTGATGCCAGTCAAAAGCTATTTATCTCTCTTTCAGGGCAGCTTTCTTATGTTTCAGGATGTGATGATGTAATATTTTGTCTGGCCCCCTCCAAGAGGAAAATGCCCCAACTCCCAAAAGCAAGCCAGAGAGGATGGCTTTCTAATTCTCTTCTGTCCCACCTCCTCTTTGCTTAGTGTTGGCATGGCTGAGATGGGTAGCTGCCCACTAAAATTTGTAGCTTCTGGTTGTCACTTGGAAGAGGCTGCAAAGCCGGGGACCAAGTGTCCCATCCATCCTTTGCACTGAGATGTTGCCAGGTACCTAGTTCTTGCTGACAGATCATGAGTGAAGAATGTGTCTCACTTCTGTGCCAAGGCTAAAGAAGTTAGGAGTGTCCCCTCCAGGTTCCTGTCCTTATCTACAAGCTCAGGGCAAATGATATGGACTGCAGAAGGACTGCAGTCCTCGAGGACTGCAGAACAACGAGGTGGAAGCATCCTGTGTCCACAAATCCAATGTGGGGAAAAGCTGCCCACTTTGGACTTATTATGTGAAAGAGAAATACTTATATTTGAGCTGTTATAAATTTTGGAGTGTGTTTGTTACTATAGCCCTGAAAACAGGCAAACTTAAAGGGCCAGATAATAAATATTTTAGGCTTTGCTGTATGGTCTTTGCACCAGTTACTCCACTGCTGTAGCATGGGAGCTACATGCTACATGCCACATGAATGTGTGGGACTGGGTTCCAATAAAACTATAAGAACAGGCAGTGGCCAGATTGGTCTGCTGGCAGTAGTTTGTCTAACCTGCTATAGCCAGTGTGCTTCTAAGTAATGTTAGTAGTTGGCATCCGTGTAAGAATATGATACAAAGGGTAAAAGCTAACAGTAGACCTATCCTACTGGGCTATAGAAACAAAGAGACTCCAAAATTTGTGACATCCATCGATGGATGAATGGGTAAGCAAAATGTGATTTTATGTATATGCAGGCTGTGCCATGGAACGACTGTTTCGTTCAGTGATGGACGGTATGTAACAGTGGTCCTGTAGATTATAGTGGAGCTAAAAAATTCTTATCACCTAGTGATGTAGCCATCATGACGTTGTAGCACAAAGCTCTGTGTGTTTGTGGTGGTGCTGACGTAAACAAACACGCACTGCCATCATATAAAAGTACAGCACATACAATTATGTCCAGTATATAATACCTGAACAATAAATGGTTATGTTACTGGTTTATGGATTTACTATACTATACTTTTCATCATTATTTTAGAGCATATTTTCTACTTATAAAAGAAAGTTTACTGTAAAACAGTATGCCGAATCACTCCAGTAGCAGCCTCTTATACCTTGTGTTCACCTCATCTCTTGATTGCATCATCTCCTCTTGTGCTCGACTTAGTCTTGTGTTGTTTGCACAATAACATGCCGTACAGGCCTGCGTCCTTGGAGCAATAGGCTGTGCCGTGTAACTCAGGTGTGCAGTAGGCTAGACCATCTAGCTTTGTGTTAGAATGTACTGGGACCTGAGCCACCACCCATGCTGGAACAAAGAAGGTATGCATCACGAGTTAAATACCTGCCCAGGAGATTCCCCATTATCAGAAACAACTGAGGCATAGCTGCGGGCATCCTGATGGAAACCAGTTGAATATTCACTGCCTCTCCCCTTTCCCTCCAGCTTTTCCCTGAAACAAGGCCCATAAATCTCTCAGGCTTTTGTCCCGGAATCAGCCATCCCGGATCAGAGGACATTGTCTTGCAAACACCTATACCCAGGACACCTGGGGCAGATAAGCAGGGTGACCCACCTTCCTCAGGGGTCTGTTACACACCCTTAAAAACCCTCCCACCCTTTCCCTTGCCCCTGTAGTCCGCTCAGACTCAGTCCACTGGATCAGTGTCCGGCCTCAAATAAAAGCCCTTAATTGGACCTTTTTGGATCCCAGTCCTCTCTCTCAGCCACCTCGGCTACCTAACAGTTTGTTTGGCAAAATTGCCTAACATTTCTCAGAATGTATCCCCACCAACAAGTGGCACATTTCTCCCTCTCTCTCTCTAATATTATGCAGCTATTAAAAGGAATGAATTTCTAACACATGTTACAACATGAATGAACCTGGAAAATATTATGCTAAGTGAAATAAGCCAGTCACAAAAGGACAAATCCTACATGATTCCACTTACATGAGTTACTTAGACTGGTCAAATTAATAGAGACAGGCAGTAGACAGGTGGTCACAGGGGATGAGAGGAGAGGGGAATGTAAGGTTATTGTTTAATGGGTACAAAGTCCCAGTTTTGCAAGATAAAAAAGTTCTGGAGACTGCAGAGGATGATGGGTGCACAATAGTATGGATATAATTAATGCCACTGAATCGTACACTTCAAAATGGTTAAGATGGTAAATTTTGTATGTGCATTTTACACAGTTAAAGAAAAAAGCTAGGAATCATAAAGATCAAATTCAGAATAGTGGTGGTCTCTGGAGAGGGAGTTAGAGATATTGGACAATAATGGGATAAAAAAAGGGAGCTTCAGCCCTGGCTGGTGTGGCTCAGTGGATTGAACACCGGCCTGTGAATCAAAAGGTCACTGGTTCAATTCTCAGTCAAGGCACATGCCTGGGTTGCAGGCCAGGTCCCAGGTAGGGGGTGCTCAAGAGGCAACCACACATTGATGTTTCCCTCTCTTTCTCTCTCCCTTCCACTCTCTAAAAAAAAAATAAAATCTAAAACAAAACAAAACCCAAAACAAAGGGAGCTTCAACTCTATCTGCAGTGTTTATTTTTTTCAAAAATAAAATTCATCAAATTAAAAATGAGTGGCTCAAATGAGTGCATCAAGAAAGTGAACAGACAACCCACAGAAAGGGAGAAAATATTTGCAAATCATATTTTTCAGTAAAGGACTTATATCCAAAATACATAAAGAATTCTTACAACTCAACAATAAAAGATAAGCAAACCAGTTTTTAAAGAGAAAAGGATTTGAGTAGACCTTCCTCCAAAAGAGGTATACAATTGGCCAGTAAGCACATGAAAGGATGCTCAATATCGGGGAAATGCAAATGAAACACATGGCGAGATATTACTTCACACTTACTGGGATAGCTAGAATAAAAAAGATAGACAATAACAAGTGTTGATGAGGATGTAAAGAAACTGCATTCATTACTGGTGCATTCATTAATGAATGGAACCTCCATTCATTACTGGTGGGACTGTAAAATGGTACAGCCACTTGGAAAAAGTTTGGTAGCTCTTTTAGAATGCTGAAAACCAAGTTACCATATGATCCAGACATTTCACTCCTAGGTATGTGTCAAAGAGAATTGAAAACAAAGACACGTAAATTGAGAGTGTAATAATTGAGAGTGATAAAGTAAAAAAATTTCTAATTTTTTTTCTGAAAAGAAGCTAAAATGCCCAATTATATAGTAATCTTGATAAGTCAAGGAATAGCATTATAGTTTCTAGGTTAATTACAAAATAAATATTAAATAAGGGTACAGTTTCCTCCATAGAAGGAAAATACTGAATAATGTAATAATTATTTTATTTCATATTTATAATTAATGTAAATTTATTAGTTACTTACATCAATATATCATTTAATTTTATTTTTCTATTATTAATATCCATAAAATTATATAATAATAATGACAAAGCAATCCAAAGGAAGAGAAGAAAGAAAGCAACAAAGAACATGCAGAACAAGAAAAGCTTATTAAAATAGATTTAAATTTAAATATATGAATAATTATAGTGAATGTAAATAGAGCAAATATTTCTATTAACCTGTTGATATTATATGACTGGATTTTTAAAATTCTCAAATGTACATGTTTAAAATATAAGAGTAAAAAATATGAAAATAATAAAAGATATTTCATTACATACTAAATCAAAGCAAGCTGATATATTAATTTTAGATCACAAATGCTCTAAAACAAAGAGCAATATCTGAGATAAAGGTGAACACTTCATAAATGTTGAACTCACCACTATTATGCTTTATGCATTTATTAATGTAGTCTCAAAATTTATAAAGAAAAGTGAACAAAAATAGACAAAGCTATCTCTCACAGCAATAGTTTAAACAGACAAAAATCATAGTAGAGTTGAATAACATAATTAGAAAACTTAGAACAATTCATACAATCACTACAGAATACAGGTTTTCCACATACATAAAACATTTACAAAACTTGACCATGTACTGAGGCATACATTTCAGAGGATTAATTTACAGAATGTATTTTATTACCACAGTGCAATTAAGATAGAAATTAATAAGAAAATGAAAGCTAGAAATATTCCTATTTTTTAAATTAAG